CCCCCCCCCCGCGCAAATGACCCCGAAGCGCCGACGCCTCGGCGGAAAACCCGGGGATACATGGGTATATGTCCCCGCCCTCCCCCCCCCAAATGACCCCGGTTTTCGGTTAGAAGGCCTGTGTGCCTTGAATTTTTTTCACGTGTACCCTTGCACAACCGTGCAACGGTTACAGATGTTACCATAACACTACGCGGGGGAAGCAAGGCAGTGTAACCTACGGAACACTAACGGTAGGCACGTGCGTTCTCGGCCCCCGTTTCTTTGACAGTCAAACGAAAGAACAAAGTCAAAACAAACGCTTAATGAACTCCATACGACAAACCCACCCCCCGTAGTAAAACCCGCCCGATGTATGGTGCATGGTTGTCGGTGGTGATTCGAGTGGACTGCTAGCGAATCGCTTGTAGCAGCCTCGCCATCATCAACACAACAAAAGTTAAAAGGTCCCTCCATCAAAAACAGACGACGAAAGAAAGGGAGAGGGGATGCCGCAAGCCGTCGTTTCCTTCTGGATAAACTTGGTGCCGTCGAAAACTTATTGGGTCCTGGGTCAAAACCCTTAGCCGGCGGAGACGTCACCAGGGCCGCGATCCCGTACGTACCCCAAACCACCAAAGCAACGCGTTGTTAACCCGCACATGCCCGAGTTCGGGGGAGGCCCTTGTATCAGGATCGACCGCCCGACGTCTCAAGCAAAACAACCTTGAAAACAATTGAGATTCGACATTACAATGCATACCCTGCGCTTGAAAGACTATTAAATAATAGAGAAATAGCTACCGTAGTGAACCAAGGATATAGAGATAGACATGACAATGCATACATACCCTGCACTTGAAAGAATATTAGAGAAATAGCTACCGTAGTAAACCACGGATAAAGAGATAAACTTGGGACAGTTTTGGACAGGACCCCACAAAGTTGCTTGCACGACGACGAACTGAGTACCTCTACGCAACCAACACCATGTTGTCATTATATTCACACACGCACAAGCAACACCACACCACGACGCTTTGATCGGTGGATCAGCCAAGCCCCCCCCCACGCGCTTCATTGCAAGGGAGAAGCGGGTCCGATAACCCACCACAGTGCGACTACCACTGCTGTTCTAACCACCGTTCCCTTGTCTCGCTGGTTCTAGATGGTACTGCCTCAGCCGCCAGCTTTGGTGGTACTTGTCAAGCACGATACACGTGTCCCCGCGACAGCTACAACTCTCCCCATACATACCGCAGGCAGCGTGTTACTAGCGTCGACAATAAGAGGGCACCTGCTTCCCCACTCACTCGATACACAATCAACACATACATACCACGCTTGTCTGAAATTGACAAAAATTACACAGAAAAACTCAAGACCAAAGAAACAGACACCGACCAACCACAACAAAGGAAGACCACTTTCTCTCTCGACACCAGCCATCGAGACAGGGGTAACTCTCCTACTCATGTTTCAAGGCACGTTCTCGTGTTAAATATTGGAGCCAAGCGCCGCAGGAAGAACGGCGAGGGAATTCCTCCTGCGTGACCCCGGCTGGTGCTCCAAAAACTACTCCGAAAGGTGTAGGCTGAAGCCCAGAATACGTGAGACGAAAAAACAAACACACGAGCTCCTCACGCCACTCGCTACCCCATTCACTTCCATCCCCTCAACAACACATGGCTCCCCCCATCCCCACATCTAAACAAAAATCATCCTCAAGATGCAAACAAACATCAACGGACACAGTACATGTCGGAGCGCGCATCGCTGTGCGTTGTCGCTCTCAGCAGCAGGGTGTACTATCTTGGTCCTGTCTCAGCAGCACCACGCCCACCACCGCAAAACAACCTACACAACACTCCCAGCTTTGGCCACTGCCCACAGAAAGCTTCGGACATTCGTTTCGGTTTTACAACGTAGAGTGATGGGTGAGACGTCACAACAACGGCGAGAAGGAATCGGCGACAGCAACAACGGTCAGCTCATCTCTCACGATCGAGGTCCAGGCGCGGCCTGCCAGCCTCGCAAACGGGCAGCAACACCGCAGTTGCAAGACAGACTGCCGGGGTCACTCGGAGACAAACAAACACATAGGAGCAGCGTCGGCCGGGTGAAGAGCCAGCGAGCACCATCAAAAAGCATCCATTCGTGAATCTAAGCTCCACAACGGTTTGCAAAATGGAGATGGGTGAAGAAGAGGTGGGCAAAAGTGTCCAATGGTACTTATGTGTGACGACAACGCGATGTTTGTATACAGGTCGCACGGGAGCGTAAGTACCTGGGAGGAATAACACGCCGACGCGTTCGTAGGAATTGCCACGGAGTCTCGGTCGTACCGTCTCCATCGTCAAAAACGTGGAGTGTGGCAAAGAAGCACAACCAACGGGCCCAATACACAAAAATTTAAGCAATTTTACCGCCATGTAGACAATTCCTCGGCGGCAAAAACAAACAACAAAACTATATTACGCTCTCGCGGGGTTCCGAATGATCCATCAAACCGCAACCCGGTGACTATCTTGCAGGTCGCCGTCCGACGTCATCTCTCCCGCGTCCGCGACTTTCACCTCCTCTTCTTCTCCTGCCGCCCTTTCTCTTTCCGCCGCCGCCGCTCGTTCGTGCCCGTTCGACACGTCCGCAACATCTATTCCCCTCGGCACTGCTGGCCAGCTCTGTTCCGCGGAAGCCACTCTTACCGCTTCGGGTGCCGCCGCGCCGCCGCCGCCGCCGCTCGGCGCACCAGCCGCCGAAGACCGTTCTTCCTCCGCCCTCGCCGCCATCCCACCGTCTCCGCTCGCACCCCCTGTCACGACTTTCCCTACTTCCTCCTGCCCATCGAAAAACGAGACGTGGAAATTTCGGAAGGCCGCCGAGGCCCTCGAGGTGAGCGGCTCGACGAATGTTCGCAGGGCCAGGATGGGTGACCAGACCTCTTGCGCGGCCGGCAGGTCGTCGCCCGCCGCCGCGGTCCGACCCATGACGGCCGGCACCTCGAGGCCGTCAAGCGTCAGGTCCTCGTGCCGCGTGCCTCCTTTTCCTTCTTCGGCAGTGGCGGCGGTGCCCAAGATTTGCACCCTCGCAAACCTCGCCTGTGGGGTGCAATGGGAGGTGTTTCAGAATATTTCAAAACACGTTATTACATACCATGTCGGACGCGCCGAAGGACAAAAACCAGCTGCATTTCTCGCGCTGCTCCGCACGTCGATCGTAGATTCAATCGTAGATTTAACACCCCCCGACACGTTCCAGCGAACGACCGATCGCATACATGGGCGGCAATACATCGATGCTTGCCAACTACGTGTGAGAGTCCCTTTTGTGTCTGCTTCTGTATCGGGCCCCCGTTCCTTCCAAGAAACGAGACTACGCACCCCCGACGTCAGAGAGGGAGGGTGCTATTCCGTTGCGGTGAGAGATGAGAGAGCGCTGCGGTATTTTCGGCGGGGAAGACACATCGAATTATCCCTGTGAGCCTGTTTATATTTGTTCTCCAATGAACGTAGACTCCGTCGCATACGCTCTCGACCGGAAATTCGAATCATAATGCTGAAGGAACGGTAACGGTATGTTCCACTTTTCCGCCCGTCGCGCGCGCCATTTCGCCCCGAGCAACTCCGGGTCGTTCGGTCGCGTACAACACACACAGCCTAGCTGTCCGTAGCAAAAGCAACCAGATGGCCCCGAGAGGGCACGAAAGGGCCACGGGGTGAACACCCCGAACCTACGGGAATCAATCGCCTCGGGGGCGCTGCGATAAACACACCGATGCATAGATATGCAAGAGTGATTGGTGCCTGGCAGATGAGAAGTAGATGGCAGCTATGTGATTCAGTAAGCCCGATGAACAGCAGGTACGACTCACATATCACAGCTGTTTGTAAAAAAACATAGCAACACGTCCCCCCTGATGTGCACAGCCTCGAACCGTTACGTCACATAGCCAGTGATACTTCGAAGTACAGGTCTAGTGAGGTCTACCGGCCCCCTTCTGTCCTTTTCTGTTCCGTTCTATCATTACGCCTTGGTGTGCAGTGGAAGCGCTGCCGCATTGAGCGGGCGCAGGTTGAAGGGGAAGCAAGAGCACAGATACAGGACCAGCTCACCTGCTTTAATTACTACGGTAAACTCTTAACATGGTTGCAAACTGCCGACAGCAGGTTTGCCTGTTGCATGATTTATTGCCTATTGAATGGTTCAGGAGGTCCTGTCGGTGTGTGTGCTGGTTGATCAAGACATGAGAACGCACACGAAGGTTTCAGGAAAACACTTGGTTCAGGGGTATTGGGTAGCACGCCGCCGCCGTATCATTTTGTCTTGAAACATCCAGGCTTGAATTACTTTTAGGTGTACGGTATATCTTGGCACCCCTAGCTTCACGACGATGGGTGTGATGCATATGCGTACCATGCACGCTTCGCGTCTTTTGACCATGTTGTGGAAGGACAACAAGCAAACAAGAGGAGAGAGTAGAAGCGAGACAGAGGATCAAGAAAGGAGGAGACAGACAGAGAGAGCAAGAGCATCGTCGGTTCGTTTCAACGTCGGCCGACCCGTCGCTCGAGTGCGGGGGCCGGGATCCTGCTGCCGAGCGCGGGATCCCATGCCGAAGACGGTAAGGCTTGGGACGTTGACACCGATGCGGCGCCGCGACGAGGAGGAAGAACAAGGCAGATGGCGGGGCCAAGGAGGGGGAGAGGACCGGGGCTCGCCGCAGAGGGGCGGAGGTGAGAGGAGGAGGTCGTCGAGCCAGCGTGAGCGACGGGTGACCAGGGTAGAGGGCACGGGGACTTGACGAGGTTGACGATTGAGTCACATCTATCGCCGTCCGCGTACTCAGGGGGGAGAGCGCGTCACTCAGAACCTAAGCAGACGGATTCCAATTCCCCAACGGTAGTTAGGCGCGACTAGTCTACTTCCGTCAGCCGCGAGGGTCCGTCACGTACGCAGCATTTCCCATCCTCACAAGGCCAACACAACGATTCCCGCGCGCACGGCGGGAGTTCGTATGGTAGGGGGGCGGG